ATTTTTTTTTTTTTTTTTTTTTTTTTTTTTTTTTTTTTTTTTTTGTATAAACTTTAATTTTTTTTTTTTTTTTTTATCCATTTTATAAGAGATAATTTTACAATGTTACATATTTTCATATTTTTTTTTTTCCTAAATTAAATGGTGTAAATTTATATTCATTACTAAATTTAATTTAATTTTTTTAATCAGCACTTTAGCTTTACATAGTTAATTCAGTTTTCAAGATGAGTTACCAATTAATGTTATTTCATATTTTAAGTAGATCCTTAAGATTTTTTTTTCTTTTCCTTATTTATAAATGAAGAAATATACTTACAGAAAATTTTAAAATTAATTTTGTCATATATTTGAATGATTTATATAGTTTATTTGATTATTATTGCAAATTCGATTGTTTTTGTAGCAATAATTTTTATTCCTTTTTTTTTACATCTACATTAGCATTTTCTACATTTTCTAATTCTATTTTTGCTTCTAAGTTATTTATTAGAATGTCATTTGTATTGCTCTCATTATAATTTGTAAAAAAGGTTTTGATGTGTTCGTTTTCCTTGATTAAATTTTGTTCGTCTTCATTTAAAATAAAATTCTGTGAATTAAAATAATTATCAATTAATTCATTTTCATTTTTTTCTTTTTTATCGTTATTATTACTTTTAAGAATTACCTCATCTTTATTATATAAAAACTTATCATCTTGATTTTGAAAATTTTCTAGTGTTTTATCATGTTTCTTTATTTTTTTATTTAAATCTTTTATTTTATGAAGTATAGATTTTATTATAATTTTTTTATTTATATTTTTTATTGCATCTATCTCTACCTTATCATTTCCTTTTTTTTTTGGTTGTTTGTTATTTTCATTTTCATTCATAATTGTTTCATCTATTATATTTAATATATTAATAAAATAATTTATTTTCATTTCTTTATATAATATTATTTCTTTCATTTCTTCTTTCATTTTTTTTAATTTTTCTAATTTTTTTTGCAAATATATAGTATCCTTTTTCAATAGTACATTCATTTTATGCAAATTTTTTTTTTCTTCCGATATCACACAACTTATTTTTTCTTTTTCTTCTAAATTTTTTCTTGTTGCTTTTAATTCTTCTTCTAAATTTTTAATTTTTATATCCTTATTTTTTGATAAAAATATATAGTAGTCTAATTTCTCCTTATAACTATTTAACATTTTATTATTTATACAATAATTTGTTGGATTTTTTAATTCTTCTTTTAATATATCATTTTCTTTTTTTAGGTTTTGCTTTTCATTATTTGCCTTTATTAATTCATTTTTTATATTAATATATTTAGTGTAAATATTATTTATTAAATTTTTTTTTTTTTCTTTTTCTTCTTCATAATTTTTTATTACTTCTTCTAGTTTATTCTCAAAACTCTTTTTTATTTCTTCTTTTTCTTCTTCATAAAAATTGACTTTTTCTTTTAAAAGTTTTTCATAAAATATTTCATTTTTTCTTTTGTTTTTAATATTTTTTTCTTTTAAAATATTTTTATTTTTATTTTCCATAACAAATTTATTCTCCACTTCATTTTTCTTTTTTATATCACCACTGTTATTTTTTTTATCCTTTAATAAATCCTTTTCTTTTTTTAAATCAAATATTTTTTCAATATAATTACATTTTGTTTTCTTTTTTCTAGAAATATTTTCTACTTTATTATTTGTACATATGTTTATATCTTCATAATTATTTTTTTCATTGTATTTATATTTTTCTAATTTGTTATAATAATTATTATTCGTATTTTGAGAATTATGTCTAAAATTAATTTTTTCATCACTATTGTCTTCATTTTCCTCTGAATCTTCGTAATTATTGCTAATTATGTCTTGATAGTAAACTTCACTCTCTTTTTCATAATTTCTATTGTAATCTATATTCTTATATTTATTTTCATATATATATTTAGAATTATCATAAAGTGAATTTTCATTTAAACTACTTTCATGATTCCTTTCTTTAAAATGAAACTTAGTTAAATCAAAAATATTTTCAGAATTAGAAAAATTAGAATCTGTTGATTTTTCGTATCCTATATTATCATAATTGTATAAAATGTAATCATTCAATGCATTTCTTTGAAATTTTTTATTTTCTTCTTTTAAAGTTAATTGATTTAGTACATTAAAATTATCAAGTAAAATTGATGCTTTTTCACACTTTTCAAGATTCATTTGTTGAATATTCTTATTATCATTATTATTCATACTATAGTTGGAATTTAGAAGGAAAGAATTTAATTTTTTATTTTTTTCTTCATATTTAAATAAGTTTACTTTATTTATATACATTGTTTTGTAAGTAAATAAATAAATTCATATTAACTTTATATAAAAAAGGATAAAGTAAAAAATCTTAAAAATTTAATTATAAAAAAAAAAAAATTGTCTAATTAAAATAAAATATATATATTTTTCTTGAAATTATAAAAGATAGTAAATTACTTAAATAAGCACAAATATATGTATATATAAATATACATATACAGAATTAAACAAATTTTTGTTTTTAATAATCAAATTTAAAAATTAATATATATATTTTATTTTTTTATAAAAGAATATCTTTTTTTTTTTTTTTTTTTTCAATATCAGCATTTATAAACAACTATTGCTAAATATCCTTGATAAAAACAAAATAAAAATGAATTTTCCTACAAATAGAAATAAAAAAATTTAAGAAAATTTAAAAAAATATGTATATATATATATATATATATATATTTTTTTTTTTAACTTTTGCAGAGATGTTAAAAGAGAAGGATTCTCCTATTATGCATATCCATCCAACACCAAAATTTTTGTCTAAAATTTCTTTTATATTTTTAATTGCATTCTAAAAAGAAAAATAATATAAACATTTAATAAATACGTGAATTCATATTTATATATGAATTCAAATAAATACATAGTAGTCATATAATGAATGTTAGAAAAAATTAAAAATTGACAATAATTAATATAAGATTAAAAGAAAAATTATATAAAATATATATAATTAAATTGTAAAAATTATAAGGAGAAAAAAAATATATATTATAATATGAAATAATACTTCAACATTAATGACATTAGTATTTGCATTGGTAAACTTATCTAATACTCCAGTTATTATATCGACTATATTATTTTGATTATAATAAGGAATATCAGATTTCTAAAAAAAATATTTTTTATTTTGTCACTTATAATTTTTTTGTAAATATACTATATTTCTTTAAAAATAAATATGATTTTCTTATTTTGTTTCTTTTTTTTTCAAAAATTGAAAATCTATATATTTTTTTTTTTTTTTTTTATTTGAGTACTCTAATTAAAAGACTCTGCATATGCTTCTTCAAATTTTGGTAGAAATTTTGTGAATTCATTTTTTTTTTTATATATATTAGAGAAAAAAAAAATATATGATAATTTCTAAAATTTTAAATATTTCATAACCTTTTTAATTATCATTAAAAAGGGATTTATTACTAAATATAAATATATGTTATTCCCTAATAATATATATATATATATATATAAAATTAAAACATACTCTATTATCAGACGGAAAATAAGAAATAAAAAAGTTATATATACTATTATATATATATATATATATATAACAATTACAAAAGTTTTATATATGCAATGAAGAAATAAATATAATTTTTTTTTTTTTTTATTTTAGATAAATAATTATTAAATATAAAATACTTTAAAATAAACAAAAAAAATTATATTTCTTTCTTAGATATGTGTCTAAAAGTATTTATGCATATTTAATATAAAAAAAAAAATTTTAATTCACAAAATTTAACTGAAAATGAAATAAATGAATTGTGAAAAAAAAAAAAAAAAAAAATTACTTACCCATATTTTATTAAAAAAAAAATATATATATAGTTTTTTTTTTTTTTTTTTGTTTATGTCTACAATTCGCTTAAACAAAGACATATTTTTTCTGCTATATAATCGACATTCTTTTTAGTAATCCCAGAAATATTTATCCTTCCACTATCAATAATATAGATATGATATTCCCTTAACTTCATATAAATATTACCAAATATTGGAATAAAAGAAAATATACCTTTTTGTTTTTTATAAACATCCCAATCATAATTTAAATTATATTTTTTCTGATAATATTTTAGTTTATCAAAAAATAAAAATCTATTATTTTTAATACGTTCGGATAACTCATATAAATCCTTTAACCATTGAGATTTTAATTTTTCATTTTTTAAAACTTCACATACAATTCTATTCGTATGAATAATAGGAGAAGTGTAAAATCTTCTAATAATCATACGTAAATTATTAAAAAGTAATTGTCTTTCTGTTTTATTTTTACAAACAATATGTAGTGCGCCAGCTCTTTCACCATATAACGACATATTTTTTGAAAAAGATTGACACACAGTAAAAGAAATTTTTCTTTCTTGAAATTTTCTAATTAATAATACATCTTTACCTAAATCCGAATTTCCAAGTCCTTGATAAGCAACATCAAATATAACTAAATGATTTTTTTTTAAAACAATATCAGCTATTTCATCAAAATATTTCTCCTCAATATCTACACTGCATGGATTATAGCAACAAACTTGAAGAAGTATGTTTGAATTATTTTTAATGTTTCTTAAATCATTTAAAAATAATTCATAATTTATATCTATTAATTCTGGATCAAAATAATTCAAATATTTTACATTAAAACCAAATGATTTTAACATATAAACATGATTTACATAAGGAATATTTGTTACATATATACTTTCAATGTTAAAACCTCTTAAAAATTCTAAAATAATAAATATAGCACCTGTTCCTCCTATAGTCTGAATTGTACATATTCTTTTTTCCTTCATGTATTCTGAATTTTCTCCAAATATTAATTTTTGAGTTAAAATAGAAAATTCTTTACTCCCATTACTTAACAGATATGGTTTTTCTTTATTCTTTTCTAAAATTAACTTTTCAGCTTCTAATACACTTTTAAATACATGTAAACCTCCATCTTCATTACAACATATACCAATAGACAAATTTACTTTTTTTTCTGATTTATCTTTTGTAAATTCACGTGTACTAGTTAAAATACTATCAGGTTCAAATTCTTTTAATTTTGATAATACATTATCCATTTCTCTTTTTTATTTTTCTTTACAAAAAAAAAAAAAAAAAAAATAAAATAAAATGATAATTTCAAAAAGTTATATCAACTCTTATTAAAATATTAATAACAATTAATTCTAATAATCCAAGAAAAATATAATTATAAAAATAAAAAAACAAATTCGATTAAACTATAAGCAATTTTTAATTAAAAAAAAACTTGTAACTGCATAACTTTTTATTTTAAATATACTTAATTATAATTAATAATAAAAAAAAAATGATATAAAATATTATCTTCTTTAATATCTTATATAATAAAAAAATATATACAAATTCTTCTTTATAAGAATTTAAAAAAATAAAAAAAAAAAAGTAGAATAATAAGAAATATGAAAGTTAAAATTATTCTATATATTATTAATGTGAATTTATCTTGTTTTTAAAATAATAAATGTACTTTATAAAACAAGAGAAATTCTTATATAAAAGATGAAAGGAAAATTTCTTATTTCTTATTAATTGTAGACATTAAAAACATTTGTACGTATTTTTTTTTTTTTTGTTTTTAATCAAAACTATTTAAAAAAAATTTATACAAAATGTATATATATATATAAACTTATATTTTTAAACATTTTATTTAATTTGTTTTAAAAAAAAAAAAAAAAATCACATTTTTTGTAAAAATAATGGAATGAAAATTATCTTCTTTTATTAAAATATTTCATTATTTTAATGATTAATTTTCAAAGAAATCCCAATATATTTTTATTAATTGTAACAGAAATATTTTTAATTTTTTATATAAAAATTTTATTTTTTGATATATATATATATATAGTAATATTTTTTATTAAAAAAATATTAAAATCCTTTATAAAAAAAAGAAAAAAAATATATAAATAAAACAAAAATATAATGTTATAAAAGATTTTTAACAACCATATAAAATTGTTCTATAAATTCCTTACATAATTTTTTTGTATTTGTTAATTTTCATTTATTTTTTTACTATATAATTACATAAATTTTTAATTATAAATGGTTAAATTACATAAAACTAATTATAAGTTATAAAAGTATAATGAAATAAAAACAAAACAAAAATTACTAAATTTAATTATTTAAAAAAATTTAAAACAAAAAAATATATAAATGTTAAAATTATTTAAGTGTAGTTAATGCACTTATATAAAAAAATATACCTGAAAAAAATTATACATTTATAAATGATAAACAAAAATATATACAAAAATATTAAAAATAATGAAATAAAAAATATCCGAAGTTAAAACGGATAATTTTAAAATAAAATATTATAAAGAATTCATATAATATAATCTGAGCTAAATTACTTAATACTATTTCTATATATACATTTATTATTAACAAATTATTTATATATATTTTATGATAAACTACAATAATTTATATATATACATATATATATATGTATAATTTTTTTTATATATAGTTTTATTCCTTTTCATTATTAACGGTAAACTACTTTTATGTATTTTCTTTTTATTATTTTTTTTTCTATCTTTCTTTTATTGGAGTGATATAATGAATTTCTACAAAAAATTCTACCTTTTTTAAAATTATTTAAGCTGTTATCAAAATTATCTATTTCACTATCCAGCTTTTCCTTATTCATATTGTAAATATCATTTTTAGTAAATTTTTGCATGTAAGTATAATTATTATTTTTACGAATTCCTAATCCTACTTTAAATAAAGAAAATTTTGAAATATATATTTTCGTACCTTTATAAAATATTATTTTATAAAACTTTTTTAATTTCTGTGCGTAGATATTCCAATAGTAATTAGTAACTTTTTTGCTAATAGAAATACTTTTTAAAATTGTGTTTAATTTTTTAATACTATCTTTTACTATATTTATATCTTTTGCAAATAAAATATCATAAATGTTTTCAAAAAATTTAATTTGATTTCTATTTGTTATTATTAAAGAATCTTTCTTGTTTTTCTCCTTTTCTTCATCACATAGTACATTTTTAAGAGCATTTAGTTTTAATTTATTATATTTGTTTATACAAAAATTAATGAAATTGTAATATTCGTAGTTATTTTTAAAAATATTTAAATTCATATTTTTCATAGCGTTTCTGTAGTCACTATTATAATCTGCTAATTTGTCAACTCTTGATAAATGATAATATAAACTTAATAATGAAGGACTGAATAAGTATTTATAAAAAAAATTAAAATTTATGCAATATGTTTTGGTATACATATCTATTACCCAATGTATGCCTTGTATATAATTCTCAACGATTTTTTTTTCTTCTTCATAATTTATTTTATTTTTATATTTTTCCTCATAAATTTTTGTCAGATATAATTTTAATCTCATATCTTCATTTTCATGATTTTTATTAAAAAGGAGATTACATTTTTCGTTAGATTTATTAAATTTCGTTTTATTTATTTTATTATTACTATTATGATATATTTCTTTGATTTGTGTTTCATTATTTGTTTTGTTGTTTTCAATCTTGTCATTTATTTTATTTTCCCTTATCTTTTCATATAAATTCTCTCTTTCCTCCTCTAAATAGGAATTATTATTTTTGATTGAATTTTTATAATTTATATTGTTTATGTTATTTGTTTCTTTTTCGTTACTATCAAAAGGCTTTAGATTAATAAACTCTATATATGAAGAAAAATTATCTTTTAAGAAATTATAAGCTGCTATGTGCATAGACTTTTTTTTTTTTTTTGAAGTAGCTGAATAGTAATACTTTTCATTATTTTTAAAATATATTATAGTACATTTATATAAATCTTTTTCATTAATAATTTCTATCTTTATATCATCTTTTTTAATTATATGTTTGCTTATTAATTCATTTAAGAAAGATAGTGGAAGATAATTATTTTCTTTAATATTTTTCATATATTTATTTGTGTTATTATTACCAGCATCTTCATTATTATAATTTAAAAAAAAATTAGAAAAGTTTATTATTTTTTCTACTTCATTTAAAAATTTTAAAAAGTTATTCTTATTTAACATACATTTTGTATTTAAGAAACCACTATATGTTTCTTCATTTTGTATTTTTTTTATTTTTTCTAGCATTCTAAAATAAGCTTCAAAAAAAATGCTAAAATTTCCTTCTTTAATTTTTGGTAGATAATCATTTCCTTTTAATATGAACAAAATTAACAAATCTCTTTTTATAAATTCAAAAGATTGAGGATATTTATTTAAAAATAAATTAATGAAAGTATTTAAATTATATAAAACCTTCATTTTTTTATTTTTTTTTTTTAAATTGTCTATTAATCCATCTTTATTATCCTTCATAAAATTTTTTTTTTCATATTCTATTAGATGATTTTCCTTCTTATTTTTATTATCACATATATTTATATTAAATGTCTGATATGTATATATAAATATATTATGAATATTTTTTAAAGCTAAACACTGAAGTAACAAATCTGCATCTGCACCAACTATAACAAATGATTCCTCTTCAACATTTTTATAATTTTTTTTATTATTTTTATCAAAAATATTATTTTCTCTTTGTATTTTACTTAAATCATTATTTTCATTATTCTTTTTTTCTTCTTCTTTTTTTTTAATATAAACATAATTATTTATCCAATTCATAAGTTTAAGTTCTCCCTCTCCTATTTCCTTATCAGTTGAAATGAAAAATTTTACATTTTCATATTTTTGAAGTGATGATAAATATTTTACAAAATTCACAAGAAAACAAGAAATTTTATTTATAAAAGTACTACCACATGTTATATCATTTATATATTTATCGTTTTCACAAAGGTATACATTTTCATTTTCTTGTGATTTCACTTTTGCTCTTCTTTTTATTTGTAATTTTAACTTTGAAAACGGGCAAATTCCATCAATAGCAAAAATAACATTCTTATTAGGAGGAAACTTTTTTAATACATTCTTTATTAAGATAGTTAGTTTAAAAAAATAATTATCAAAATTAGTAAATTTCACATTAGCTTTATGAAGGAGCTGATTTAAATCAAATAATAAATTATCTACTTCAAATATATTTTCTTTTTTTTTAATAGTATTTATTTTCAAATTTTTTTTTAAATTATTTATATCAAGTAAATTATTTTTATGAACAATTTTTACACAACTAGGAAAGTTGTTAATTAGCCATTTATGTAATCCTGGTATGCCACATTCAATTAATGATAAAAATAATAAAAGAAAAAATAAACACTTAAAATTTATATACTTGGGCATATCATTATATTATGTTTTCATAAAAAAAAAAAAAAATTATTTTATTCACATTTTTTCATTTACTTTATATTTTTACTTATTTTTTTATATAATTTATTTATTTCATCTTAGAATAAAATTGATTAACAAAACTATTAATTTTCTATGATACACTTATTGCATATATTTGTGATAATGTTTTATATTAATTTTTAATATAAAATTTTTTTTTCTTTTTTTTTTTTTTTTTTTTAAAACACATTATCATAGCTAAATAAATATTTTTTATAATTCTACATAAACATTTGTTTTTCTTTTTTTTTTTTCATTTAATTAAAATGTATATTAAAGATCACAAAAAAAACTTTTTATTATTTATAATTAAATTATTCCTTCAAAAAAAAAAAAAAAAAAAAAAAAAAAAAAAAAAAA